GCACCCTCCATGCACCTGACCACCTAGCAGGCCCCCATCCTTCCCAGCCTGTCTGATGGGCAGTGAGGCACAGAAGCAGGCCAGCAGTTCCAGAATGAGCTCCTGGCCCTGCTGATGAGCCCATAAGGCCTCCCTGAGAGTACGCTCACAGCAGCCTCTAACTGTCTCCCCTGCACTGAGCGCCGAGGCCAGAGCCGCGGTGACACCCTCAGGGCCTCCTTGGGCACCAGGAGTGCCAGGCAGCAGCAAGGGGGGGAGGGTGAGCAGGGTAGGGTTCCCCAGGAACCAGCCTCTCCACTCTGGCTTCAAGTCCACATGCGCAGCCTCAGTCAAGGGCCGCTGCTAGGGTCTCAGTCTTTAGGCTGCACATATCTTGGGACAGGCCCCAGAAGTAGAATGCCAGACCCACCTGGGGCCCAGGTGCCCACCTTGGGGATGGTTCTGGGAGGATCCCCAGGTGGCTTTCGGGCTGGTGCTGGGCCAACCTCCAGACATGCTGGGTTTCGCTGCCAGTGGGCACTGCTTCATATGTCCACTGGCCAACCCTATTTCATGTCTGGTGCCAAACCTGTGCAAGCTTTCTTGCCCTTTTCTCCCCATTGTCTTGTCCATATTGGTTTGTAGGGACCCATATGCATTATGTGCTTGAGAGACCATGCGGGCCTCTGCCTGCCTGGTACACACCGATCAGATATACATCCTGCGAGGCACACGCCTATGTCAGATGCATACCTCAGCCAGGTGCAGGAGCAGTAAGTTCTTTCCCAGTTAGGGGGTGTTGGCACCACATTTCATTCCACACCTTGCTTCTCCCTCCCCCTTGATGGTGGCAGAGCTGCAGACTTGATGGGCCTGCTGCCACAGGAGGCATGGGGAAGGGATGTGTAGATATGATGAAGGCCCTGAATCAGCTGGCTGAGTTAGCGTAAAGGGGACCTCCCTGGGTGGGCTCATCCAATTAGGGTGGAGGAAAGAAATCCGAATGGGAGGCAGCAGAAGAGGCTCCCTCCCCCTCCCGTGTCCAGGGGTTGGGGGCCAAAGGCCTGCATCCTGCAACCACAAGTAACTCGGTGGGCTGGGTAGGGCCCTTGGGCCTCTAAACTCTGGACCAGGTGACAGTGGGAGCAAGGAATCTGGCCCTGACCCTGAGACGGCTGGAGGACACTTGCTGCTGTTTATTTCACAGTGACAAGAAGCTAGTCCATGGGCATGCTGACCACCGATGCTTCCAAGGACAGAACTGGGTTCACACTCCGCACTGAGCCAGCGGGTGACCTCCGAAGGCTGGGGAAGTGTGGCTGGCCTGACGCTGGCCACGCCAACTGCACCAACCACAACCACCGCGCCCACCACGCCCACGACGCTGACCACGCCCACCACACCAGCCGCGCCCACGCCCTGGGCTAGTGCGCCTCCTCCAAGTGGCCTGGGGAAGCAGGCCCTCACCGCCCCACGGGGCTGGACACAAGTCTTCCCAATGAGTGATGACTGGATCACCAAGGTTCACATGCAGAAGCTTCCAGAAGAGCACGGTCCCCGGCAGGATCCGTTTCCCGCTCAGCCTCCTGGTTCCAGAGCAGAAGAGCGAACACTGGCAGGCCTGAGCTAGGCGGACCGTGGTTCCCTGGGCAGCACCGGGGTCCCACAGGGCCAGTCTCTGCCCCTGGCTGCCCGAGACCCGTGACCTCACAAACAGGGGCGCTTCTGCCTGGACGCCCCTTGTTGAGCTGATGCTGATGAGTCAGGCAGGCCACGCAAGGACACCTTCTCGGCAGCAGTGACTCATGCCAGAAGCACACTGAGACACTCTTCATTCTCAGCCAAACTTTTCTTTAGTTCACTGACCTTCAGAAGTGTTTGTAAACTGAAGTGTCATCTGCGTTAAACAGATTCTGTTAGCCAATAAATCACAGTAAGGGGGAAAAGTCAAGTTTCTACCCCAATATGTAAGGATTCAGCCACCTGCCTAAGCACTAAGCCCTCGCAGCGCTGCCTCCCGCTCCCCCCATTGCTGGTGTTAGTTAGGAGCACCTGGGGTCACCTGCACCTGCCAGGGCCTGCCTGATGCCCCAGGAGACCCCTCCCAGGCCCACAGCTACCCCGGCTTTCAGAACACCCAGCAGGCCTGTGAGGATCTGGAGACCACTCTGTCCCCGACAGACCCTTCTTGCCACTTTCTTCTCTCTGCCAAGGCTCCTGTCAGCAGTAGCCACGTGTGCACGTGGTCTGGTCGTCACAGGGCTGGGGCGCTCGGGCACCATATGGGGAGAGGGAATGTGTGAGACAAGCACGACCGTCCCAGAAATAACTGTCCCGCCCGAAGGACTGACATGCAGGTGACAAAGAGATTCATGGGGACACAGGCCCAGGCCTGGTACAATACGGTCACAACTTCCCACACACCCAGCAGTCCAGAGTGTAACCCCGTGTGAAGGCAGAGAGGACCGCAGCCTACTGCTCTGAGAGCCAGTCCGTGAGCTGAGGGCCGCCCCGCTCGGGTTAGCCCCACAGTCCCACGTCCCCATCGCGGCACCCGCAGCTCTGCGTCTGCAGGTGCATGCACAGCACAGGGCGGTCACAGGTCTGCGTGAGAGCTATTGCATTGTGCACCCTCAATTTCTCTTTTACTACAAGTGGATATGGTCATAATTACAATGATTTCACTTCAGAATTAGAAGGGGAGTCTATACATATTTGTCATAAGCAGACTGCGGGGACTGGTGGCAATGAGACACTGAGGAAAGCCTCAGTGTCTGAGCAGAGCCAGGCCTCCCTGGGACCCCCTCAGATTAACTCCCTGAGGGAGCGTAAGGGCTTCCCAGGTGGCACTAGTGGTAAAGAGCCCGCCTGCCAATGTAGGAGATGTAAGAGACTCAGCTCGATCCCTGGGTTGGGAAGATCCCCTAGAGGAGGGCATGGCAACCCACTCCAGTGTTCTTGCCTGGAGAATCCCATGGACAGAGGAGCCTGACAGGCTACAGTCCATAGGGTCGCCAAGAATCAGACACGACTGAAGCAACTTGGCTTGCACAGCACGCACAGGGCCTTAAATTCTGCAGGGGCTCCACAGCCTGAGCTCAAGAGGCTCCAGCCTTGGAAGGTGTTCTCACCTGTGAGACACAGGAAGCAACTTCAGCCTGTTTAAGGAGCAAGAGAAGTGGAAGCAGGGACTGGCCTGGAGCTAAAAATACAGGCTGCCTGCAGTGCTCCCGCCAGACGGCAAATGAGGCTACTGACCAGGAGTGCGGCAGCCAAGAGATACTTTATCCAGCCAGAAACTTGCGTGCTTTTTTCTTTTTCAAATCACTGTGAAAAAAAAGATTAATACACGGGATTACGGTTGCTAGAATTAGCTCTCATTTTATGAAACAAATGCAAAGTGTCTACTCTGCAGGTCCCACCTATCAGCACAGACTCAGCAGCAAACCTGATTCCTGACACTGGGTGTCTGACCATTCCTGTCCTCCGTTCTGCTTCAGATGCCGCCTTTTGTCCTGCTTTTTTTTTCTGTGCCTTCAGGGACAACTGCCTTGTGCACAGGATCAACAACAATTCGCTTCTTCAGTGCATGCTTACGTCATATTAAAAAACACTTTCTAACTCACTTCAACAGCATAATTAAAGCAATGGTTTACATCACATGATAACTGTCTCTGTGGCTTAGCTATGAAAGCACCTGTCTAGCAAACAGGAGACCTTGGGTTTGAATCCCAGACGGGCCTAAGAGGGGAATGTTTTGGGGGCTTCCCTGATGGCGCAGTGGTAAAGAATCAACCTTCCAATGCAGGAGATGCAGGTTCAATCCCTGGGTTGGGAAGATCCCCTAGAGAAGGAAATAGCAACCCACTCCAGTATTCTTGATTGGGAAGCCTCATGGACAGAGGAGCCTGGTGACACACAGTCCACGGGGTTGTAAAGAGTCAGACATGACTGGGCAACTAAACAACAAGAACGTTACATCTACAGCACCCTGCATGTAGGTGGTCATAAATCACAGCTCACTTGCAGTGCTAATGCATGGTCTCACTCTGGGCTTTTTACCATCTCCCAATCAACTCTGGCTACAGAGAAACTGATTTAAGATCACTAATTGAGCTAAAAGATGAGTTGTGGTTACAAATACAACTCCGTCCCACTGGCACAAGCAGTGGTAAAAGTAATCATGGTTTTTCCCTCTCCATATACTTGCTGGCTATGTACAAAAAAGAAAAAGAAAACAGAAAGAAAGCACTAGTTGAAGATTAGACAAAACCTCTTTTAAAGGTTTCCCTGGGAACCAGGGACCTGACATTCCTGAGGTCTACGGACACAGAAACGACAGGTGGGACCTTCCAGGTACAATCCCAGGGCCCTGTGGTCAGGCAGGGCACATCTCCCGCCCCTAACCAACCCCATGGGCTCCACGCCCACCACGGCCCAGAGGGGGCTGTGTCCTGGCTGACACGCCTCAGCCCCCGGGGAGGGAGTGGACGAGGGAGTGGACGAACGCAGAACGCCCTCTTTCTGCACGCAGCAGCCTCTGGCAGCCACTTCCTATAATACTTCTTCCCCAGGAAAAAAACCTCCAAAGTTCAGCGCTCGACCTTCCTGACTCAGTCACTCTGCCGGCCACAAACTAACCTTACGTCATACGAACGACCGGGATTTTGACAGTCGTCTCAGCTTCCCTCAAAAGCAGACGCTGCATCATGTAATAGTCACCAACAATAAGTACCGAAGAAATGTTCTTTTAATTACCTCAAAGAAAATAATCTGCGGTGAAGGCTTTACGGCGAGTCCCTGGTAGTGCCCAGCCCTGTGCCACCCGCGGCGGCCACTGGGGGGCAGCAGAGCACGCGCTGAGGCTGCAGGGACAGCAACGTCCGACCGTCTGTAGGAAGCTCCTAACAAAATGCGTTTTAAACAGCCAGCCAAAAGGCTTAATTAATGAGTTTACGTGGGGCCAGAGGCAATTTTTTATGAGTCAAAAGTTAGCAGAGGTTTACAGGTTCCACTCTTACCGTGAATCCCACGTGTTCCTGTGCCTCCTGGGCCCTGCGGGGCGGGTGGAGCTGAGATGATCCGAGCGTGGCGCCCGCTCGGCGAGCTTCCTTTAGGCCCTTGTCCAGCTCTCCATGCCGACCGGAAAGCCTTCCCCCTGTAACAGACGGTTCCCGTGCTTCATGTTAACTTCAACCCAACAATAAAGCTTTTCCACCATCGCAGACGTCAAAGTGAAAAAGTGAAGGCACTCAGTCACGTCCGGCTCGTTGAGACCCCGTGAACTGTAGCCCACCAGGCCCCTCCGTCCATGGGATTTCTCAGGCAAGAATACTGGAGTGGGTTGCCATTTCCTTCTCCAGGGGATCCTCCCGACCGAACCCGGGTCTCCTGCATTGCAGGCAGATGCTTTAACCTCTGAGCCACCAGGGAAGCCAACTCCATAACACATGCTGCTCATGAAAAGTCCTCTTCCAGGGAACTGATCCTGCAGGCTGCACAGCACTGTCCCCAAGAAACCAGTCCTCTCTTGAATATGGGGGCTTCCCTGGTAGCTCAGTGGTAAAGAATCTGCCTGCAAATGCAGGAGACGCAGGTTCAATCCTTGGGTCGGGAAGAACCCCTGGAGAAGAAAATGGCAACGCACTCCAGCATTCTTGCCTGAAGAAATCCATGAACGGGGAGCCTGGTGGACTACAGTCCATGGAATCACAAAGAGTCAGACACAACTGAGAGACTGAACAACAACTCCTAGATATGTTTCACTTGCTTCTAATGTGTTCTTAATTTTTAAAGCCGATATCCCATGATCACTTCCACCTTGCCACAACACGCAGGTGCACACATGACATACACTATTAGATCTCCACTCGCCAACAGGCCAGTGCAAACAAGCACCAACCCACACGCTAAGGAATGAGACCTCGGGCAGAGTCCTGTCCAGACCCATCTTCTGAGAAAGCAGACACCACCTGTGCAGGCCTGTGCACACGCGTGTGAGTCCAGACAGACCCGGAGTTGCAGGCTTGGCATCCCCCCACCCCTCCCCACCCGGGTCACCGCTGACAGCCAGCCCTGTGTCTGGAGCGGAGCCCGGGAAACAACTCTCCAGATCACTTCCTCCCAACCAGTGGGACGATGGAACCTGCTGACATACCTATGAGACCTGACAATGGAGAGCCCGTATTTTCTTTCTGAAAAACAAGCTGATATCCAAACAACACCTGCTTCTCCAGTGCAGACCTCCTGGCCCACGTCTGCGGGGAGAGCGGCGGGTCTCAGAGGGGCAGTGGCAAGACCAAGGCGGACAGTGCATCTGACCGCGGTGTGGCCAACCTGTGCACACCCCCATCCCCAGCCATCAGGACCCTCCCTCTGCATAGCCACAGCTGCAGGTCCTCAGGCTCTGACACACCTCTCTGCTGTGACGGGCTCAGATGCCCCTCACATCTGAGGGGCAGTGTGCCAGTGGGTATCTGTGAGGACAGGGCACACGGCGTCCCCATCTCCTTTGGCGGCATCTCCAGGTGTGATGGGCATTCACTGCAGAGCCCCGCAGGCCTGGGGTTACGGTCACAGCTATCTTGTCCAGCACAGAGGTTCTGAGCCGAGTGCCCAGAGCCGTTCACAGCGTCACCCACCCATCATCACCCAGCTGCAGGAGGTGCCAGCCATGTCACTCACGAAGCCTCCTCGGGCAGGACACTAAGAACCAATGAACCCAGGCATCAGCCTAAACGATGGCCCCCAACACATGGCCAACCTCCAGATATTTGGGCAAGCCCAGCTGAGGTTCCCATCACTGTGGAGCACAGACAGGCCATCCACACACACCCCGCAAATCCCTGACCCATGAAGACACAAGCAGAACAACACTGTGGCTGTTCTCTGAAGCTGAGTCTTGGGTGTGTAAGTTAAGCAGCAAGAGACCCACAGAATGGAGCTACTCCAAAAGTCTTGTAAACTTAGGTAAAATGAGCAAATTACAAGAAAAATGCAACTCATCAAAGCTGACTCAGGAAGAAATGGAAAATGTGAGTAGACTACCAACATTAAAGTAGAATCAAGAGAGAAAAAAAAAATCACTGTACGAACAACAGTCCACGCCTGGATGGCTCCCCCAGGAAATTCGCCCAATACTCAGCAGGAACACATCTGCCGAGCGCGAGGAGGAAGGAAGAAGTGTCAGCCAAACTACTCCCAGGGACAGACGTAAACACCCTTGACAAAACGTCAGTGAATGTAGTTCTGACTAATCCTGCATGATCTAGCTGGATTTGTGCTGGGAACACGAGAATGACTGCATGCGTGGAGATCTATTGATGTAATCCTCCGTGCTAATAAACCTAGAGGGCCGTAAGAGGACATCCCATGACCCCACTATAGGCAGCTCAGTAGCAGGCACAGTTGAGCTGGATTCCAAGGGACCCAGGCTTCCGTGCTGATGTAGAGAGAACGGCAAGCACAGTGCTGTTCTGAAACACGGGACGGCGGCCATGTCCACATGGGGAGGGGCCATGGTCAAGGAGGAGCTCAAGGGAGACCGAGACATGTCTGCTTTTACCCTGGAGAGGGCAGAGGACAGACGTGTCATCAGAACCCACTCTCCTGACCCGCACGCCTTTGTAGGAGTCACACAGCTTATAACATAGATGTAGGAGAAAATCACAAGGCACAGAAGACACCCGTCCATGGTGCCCACAGCTAGGGAGCACTGTCTGTAACGATGGAGCCCAGCACAGCTGACCCAGGAACGACCCGGGAACGACCCAGTGCTGCAGAACTACTACTGACAGAAAGGTGACCCATTCACACCCAAGTTGGGCCAGGGCCAGCAGCACCTGCCACACTGTGAACCAGACGAGACCAGTGACGAGACCACCTGCAGCAGCAAAGAGAGCCGAGGAGCCTGCGTGTCAAGGGTGGCAAGACCCCAAGGAGGGTCAGGAGAGGCAGCTGGAAGGTTCCTGCAAGTGGAAGTGCAAGTGTTAGTCGCTCAGTTGTGTCTGACTCTGTGACCCCATGGACTGTAGCCCGCCAGGCTCCTCTGTCCATGGGATTCTCCAGGCAGCAATACTGGAGTGGGCTGCCATTCCCTTCTCCAGGGGTTCTTCCTGGGATCCAAACCTGGGTTCAAACCTGGGTTTCCTGCCCTGTAGGCAGATTCTTTACCATCTGAACCATCAGGGAGGTTTCCTATTTCTTGCAAAAGAGAAGGAGAGAGGCTCTGTGGGAGAAGCGAGAGGCGCGCAGGGAGCCAGGCTGCAGGGAGAGGAGGCCAGCTGATGGCGCAGGCTCAGGGGCCAGAACCCTGCCCGGCTCGATACACCCGGTGCGCCACAGGAGAAGGGCAGGGCCTGGGCACCCTAAAACTCCGGAAGGGGTGGAGAGGGTGGGACACGGAGGAGCCTTGTCAGCTGGAGGCTCCATGGTCTCCGGTCCCTGACACACCCAGGCACCACCACCACTGCCTCCCGGAGTCCTCACCTGCTGGCTGCGCCTGGCTCAGGACACCCTCCTGACAGCAGTGTGACCACTCATTAGTCAGGCTGCAAGGGTTTCCGCAGGGCGTCACCTGTATCTGCTGACAAAAGGAGCTCAGATGCCACAGCAATGCTGGTGAAACAGGGTCAGGTGGGGCTGCGCTCGTGGGCACTAACCGCAAACACAGAACCAGTCCCGTGACATGAACGCGTCGCTCGGCACCTGATGGACTGCTGTGCCCTTGGAAACCTTGCTGATGGAATGGAGCTCTCGGATTTCCTTGAAAAGTGGTATTTATCGTTACAATTTTACTAGACTCTGAAAATTAAGGCTTCACTCTGCCCCCAAATAAGTATCTCACATTCTACCTTGCAGATGCGTAGCACCATTCATAAGTGTGCAGATACCCACTCAGTATTCTTGGGCTTCCCTCGTGGCTCAAGCTGGAAAAGAATCTGCCTGCAATGCAGGAGACCTGGGTTTGATCCCTGGGTTGGGAAGATCTGGAAAAGGGAAAGGCCACCCACTCCAGTATTCTGGCCTGGAGAATTCCATAGACTGCATGAGGTCGCAAAGAGTCGGACACGACTGAGCAACTTTCACTCACTCACTCTGCCCCTACATTCTACCTTGTGGGTATGTAGCATCGTTCGTGAGTATGCAGTTACACAAACCAGATTCCCTGATATTAGAGATGCCGACTATCCAAGATACAAGGCTTCACAGGCTCAAGGCAGGGGACAGAGAATGGTCAGCAGAGGGATGCTGACACACAGGGGTACTTGTGCATCACTGGTACCACCACTGCTTAAAGTGCTTAACTAGTCCTGCGATCGTCCATCAAAGGAGGGTCAGCCAGGGGCACCGGGAGGAGGAGCTGCGGGGGCTGGTACTGGAGGAGGGGTCGCGGGGAGGGGGGGCCCATGAGTCACCGAGCAGGCAGGGAGGGCACTGGGAGGGGCCTCGGGCAAGGCAGCAGGAGGAGGGGCTGGGGGGGCACCAGGAGGTGGGACCATGGAGGGGCACCAGAAGAGGGGCCGCAGGGGGGACCCCCAAGTCACTGGGCCAGGAGGGGCCCCCTGAGTCACTGAGCCAGGCAGGGGGTGCGGACACCCCTCAGCTGAGGCTGAGACGGAAAGCAGGAGGAGCCCCTCCAGATGCCTTTGGTAGAGGAGAGGCTCTCAGCAGAAGCTGGTGTGAGAACAAGGAATCTGGGCTGTGTTTTCTGAAAGATCAGGCTGATAGCTCTGTGGGCAATGCCAGGGGTGAGGCCGGGACAGCTGGGGGGCAGAGGGATGACAAGAGATGGAAATGTCAGGCTTCCTATTGGGAGGCTCAGTGGACGGGCCTTGGAGACGAGGCCTGTGGATGGAGGAGTGAATCAAAGCCGAGTGACTTTGAGGATCCTCACTCCGAGGATCCTGGGTCCACCCAGAGGGCAGAGCGGCTCTTCAACAACTAGCATGAGAAAATGCAAAGGAAGTTCTAGAAGACAAGTGTCTTCAACTGTTCTGAACTAGGGAAACCTCTGAGCATTGATATTTCAGCTCCGATATGACAAAAGCTTCCCTGGCTAAGATTTCAGAAGAATCAAGTGGATCCT